AGTAGACAAAAAAGAGTGTCAAGCAGACCTAAAAAACAATATAAAATTAGCGAGTCCGTAATTAAAAAATTAGAAAAGAATAGGTTGCTTTTGCGTAGCATTCATTAAATGAAAATTAGGGGCAACAGAATAATAAATAGTAGACAAAAAAGGGTATCAAGCAGACCTAAAAAATAATAAAAAATTAGCGAGTCTGTAATTAAAGAAAGAAAATAATAGGTTGCTTTTGCGTAGCATTCATTGAATTAAAATTAGGGGCAACAGAAAAATAAATAGTAGATAAAAAAGGGTGTCAAGGAGACCTAAAAAATTATAAAAAATTAGCGAGTCTGTAATTAAAAAAAGAAAAGAATAGGTTGCTTTTGCGTAGCATTCATTAAATGAAAATTAGGGGCAACAGAATAATAAATTGTAGACAAAAAAGAGTGTCAAGCAGACCTAAAAAATAATAAAAATTTAGCGAGTCTGTAATTAAAAAAAAAGAAAAGAAAAGGTTGCTTTTGCGTAGCATTCATTAAATGAAAATTAGGGGCAACAGAAAAATAAATAGAAGACAAAAGAGGGTGTCAAGCAGACCTAAAAAATAATGAAAAATTAGCGAGTCTGTAATTAAAGAAAGAAAAGAATAGGTTGCTTTTGCGGAGCATTCATTAAATTAAAATAAGGGGCAACAGAATAATAAATACAAGACAAAAAAAGGTGTCAAGCAGACCTAAAAAATAATAAAAAAGTAGCGAGTTTGTAATTAAAAAAAGAAAAGAATAGGTTGCTTTTGCGTAGCATTCATTAAATGAAAATTAGAAGCAACAGAAAAATAAATAGTAGACAAAAGAGAGTGTCAAGCAGACCTAAAAAATAATAAAGAATAAGCGAGTCTGTAATTAAAAGATAGAAGAAAGAAAAGAATAGGTTGCTTTTGCGTAGCATTCATTAAATTAAAATTAGGGGCAACAGAAAAACAAATAGTAGATAAAAAAGGGTCTCAAGGAGACCTAAAAAATTATAAAAAATTAGCGAGTCTGTAATTAAAAAAAAAGAATAGGTTGCTTTTGCGAAGCATTCATTAAATGAAAATTAGGGGCAACAGAATAATAAATAGTAGACAAAAAAGAGTGTCAAGCAGACCTAAAAAATAATAAAGAATAAGCGAGTCTGTAATTAAAAGATAGAAGAAAGAAAAGAATAGGTTGCTTTTGCGTAGCATTCATTAAATGAAAATTAGGGGCAACAGGGGCAACAGAAAAATAAATAGTAGATAAAAAAGGGTGTCAAGGAGACCTAAAAAATTATAAAAAATTAGCGAGTCGGTAATTAAAAAAAAAGAATAGGTTGCTTTTGCGTAGCATTCATTAAATGAAAATTAGGGGCAACAGAATAATAAATAGTAGAAAAAAAAGGGTATCAAGCAGACCTAAAAAATAATAAAAAATTAGCGAGTCTGTAATTAAAAAAAGAAAAGAATAGGTTGCTTTTGCGTAGCAATCATTAAATGAAAATTAGGGGTAACAGAATAATAAATAGTAGACAAAAAAGAGTGTCAAGCAGACCTAAAAAATAATAAAGAATAAGCGAGTCTGTAATTAAAAGATAGAAGAAAGAAAAGAATAGGTCGCTTTTGCGTAGCATTCATTAAATGAAAATTAGGGGCAACAGAATAATAAATAGTAGAAAAAAAAGGGTATCAAGCAGACCTAACAAATTATGAAAAATTAGCGAGTCTGTAATTAAAAAAAAAAGAATAGGTTGCTTTTGCGTAGCATTCATTAAATGAAAATTAGGGGCAACAGAATAATAAATAGTAGAAAAAAAGGGTGTCAAGGAGACCTAAAAAATAATAAAAAATTAGCGAGTCTGTAATTAAAAAAAAAAGAATAGGTTGCTTTTGCGTAGCATTCGTTAAATGAAAATTAGGGGCAACAGAATAATAAATAGTAGACAAAAAAGAGTGTCAAGCAGACCTAAAAAATAATAAAAATTTAGCGAGTCTGTAATTAAAAAAAAAGAAAAGAAAAGGTTGCTTTTGCGTAGCATTCATTAAATGAAAATTAGGGGCAACAGAATAATAAATAGTAGACAAAAAAGGGTGTCAAGCAGACCTAAAGAATAATAAAAAATTAGCGAGTCTGTAATTAAAAAAAAGAAAAGAATAAGTTGTTTTGCGTAGCATTCATTAAATGAAAATTAGGGGCAACAGAATAATAAATAGGAGACAAAAAAGGGTGTCAATTATACCTAAGAAATAATAAAAAATTAGCAATTCTGTAGTTAAAAAAAAAGGAATAAGTTGCTTTTGTGATCTAATCATTAAACAAAAAGTAATGGCAACAGAACAATAAATAAAAGAAAATAAAATAAAATAAAAGAAAATAAAAAAATTTGGTTGCTTTTGTGATCTAAAAAAGTACTGAAAAGTAGGGTCTTTTGAATAATAAAATCAAGACAAAAAAAGGACATTTGTCAGACCTTAAAAGGAATAAAATGGAAGGATATCGATGCTGAATAAAAAGGTCTACTGAATAATATCAAGGAGAGAAAAATAATTTGTTAATGTGATATAGCAAAGAAAGGGAGGGCCTCCGTAAAAAACAAAATGGCTATTATGTAATGTTTAAAAGGCACAAATGGAGGGGCCAGTCTAATAAACAAAACATACAAAAAGAGGGCACTACTAATACTAAAAGTAATACTAAAAGGAAATAAAAAGTGGGTATTTCTTTTAAAAAAGATCAAAAGCAAGGCTACTTCTGAGGCATGCAACTTATTCAGAAAGAGCTAATTCCTCCGTTATAAAATAGTAATAAAAAGCAGGGTTTTCTGTTACACAAAAAAAATCTACGATAAGATAAGAAGGCGTTGTATGGCATACTGATAAGAAAAAATATATGTTTAAAAGTAGGTTTGAAGACTGGACAGTTTTTTACCAAGTTTGCTCGTAAAAGACTGGACAGTTTGCTCGAAATCAAGTAAAATTTATTATTATTTATACATCTAGATCACATTAGGAATAGCTTCAAATATGTTGGGAAGGAAATGTGCAAAAAAATAGATTTTGCTTTCACTGCAATGCTCACAAATAAGAAAGGTTAAAAATGGGTTTAAGATCCTAAAACAAACTTCACACTAGCATTGTCTTCATTTTTTGACCTACATTGGAACCTATTAGAAATTTTTTCTGGTGTCTTTTTTTGCAAAACAGCATGGAATAATAATGTGATATAAATAGATTTGAAAAAAGCAAACATTTCACAACAGAGTACTTAAATCTTTTTTATCTAACACTCCCCAGAGTATAAAATGTTAGAATAAGGGCCAGAAAGAACACAATGGAAATAAATACCCAATTGTGGATCGAAACAGGTCAATCAGAAAAATGCAAGCACATGACCATCAAAGTTGTCCTTTCAGTGCTGCGTGCCCATTAAAAAATTACCACTGGGGTCCAAGAGAGAAAACAAACTCGTTCTCTCTGCACAATGTGTCCTATGTAGTCAGAATCACACTGGCATGTAAATTAAAATTACTTTAACTGGATTTCAAAATTAAGCAATTTTTTACGAAAAATGCTTGCTAGAAATCAGTTACAATTTATTATCAGCAATGGTTAGATGAAAGTCTCAAAATTTTGGGAAAAATTAAAAACAAGATAACCCGACTATAGCTTTTCACGTTTTCAGAATGTCCTACAACTTTACCCTGACAATCTTGCGCCTAGATCTCATATGACCTCAAAACTACAGTATGAGGTCACAAAAGGATTGCTTTGTTAGTGCTTTCTAGCATTCACCGTTCTGGGTTGATATCATCGATTCTGCATCTCGCTATCTACAGAGCTTTCTCAATGGACTTGAGATTTGAAATCTTTATCTTCACATTAGTTTACATTGAGAACTTCATGTTGTTTGGACCGTTCGATCACGAGTTACTTTGCTTTGAATATTTAGATATTTCTTTAGATTTGACCGGAATTCGCTGCTGCTGTAGTGAAAAAATTTCATTACAGCAGCAAAGTCCATTGAAATATATAGGAAAAGCAAAATTTTGAAAATGAAACTAAATTTTCGCTGCCTGACGGCCCAAACAACATGAAATTCGTCACAAATTAATTTGAACATGAAGATTCCGATTCTGTGATCAATTTTTGGCAACTTCAAAGATAAAAAATTGCCCGGAACATAAAATAGTTCATAAAAAGACACTTATCATCTATATTTCCAGTGACACTCAAAATATTATAATTAAAAAAATTGAGATGTGTGAATTATAATTTGCAAAAAATCGTAACATAACAGAAGAAACAAGCCATGCACATACCACATTTGTACCCATCATTTCCAGCGTTGGGGTTATGATTATTCCCGCCATATTGTTTTGATCTCAGTAACATCAAATCGAGGCCAAAATGTTTGCCTTGATCACTGGGGGTAATTTGCCCCCTGACCCCTCACAGCGGCCCTGCTCCTCAAAATAGCCCTTATCTGAAAGCCCCTTTATTGATAAGCAGCCAGGGGGCCAATTCGAGGATTGACTGTATTCAAAATGCCTTTGATACCACAAAATTGGCTCACTTGAGCGCGGGAAATAATCACTGACTAAACAGCGTCTTTGTATCCCTGTCTGCATCATTGCCTAGGCCAAAAAGATGGTGGATAACTAACAGGAGAGGAAAACAAGTTTTAACGCACCAGAATAAAAAAAAAGAATGGCGATTACGTAGATAAAACATTCATAATTTATTTATTTCAACTGTATACTGCTTTATTAAGTAACGAATTTGGTGTTATTACTGCAAAAAAGCTGATGGTAGAACATGACTGATGGCAGAAAGTAAAAGAACTGTTCTTATTAACAAGCTGCTCTGCTTAATCACAGAGCGAAATCAAATTGGAGATCAATTTGACGAGAGAGGATTCACACTACTGGAAACAGTATGTGATGGCTTACAAAATATGTCAGCCGGAAATGTTGTTTCTATCTTGTCAAAAAGCTGGTTATGCATTGGAAGTTGTGATTTTGCAAACGGATTAGAGTATTGTCAGGCTGCTTTGGATTACGTGTGGGAGGAGTTAAATACGGGATACTGGAAGGATGTGGATATTTGCTGGAGAAAGGCATACACGCTTTCTACATTCCTGAAAGTTTTGTGTCAAATTGGGATATGTGAGAGTAGAAATGAAGTTTTCAAAACCTGTGATATGGGATTGCTTATGGGGGCGCCAGTGCATAAGAACGTTTTAGTAAAGGTTATGATGGTTTTGCAAGAAGCTGAATTTAGCTTTCAAGAGCATGAATCATCTTTGGCAGAATGCACTGAAGTTTTTGTGGATAACAATTTGGAAAATAACAGAAAGATGAAAGTCCCTATTAAAAGAAAATGGAGAGATGAACTGAATGATGGAACTGCCAGCAAAGAAATCAATGTTGGTGGTATTGAAAAAGTTCAACTTCAAGAAAGCTCTGCTTTGCAAAATGACAAGAGCGCGACTGAAAAGAAAGAGGGTCTAGAAATTTTTGTATCGGCAGATAGATATCCTTTTGGTTTAGCAGGCAGTAGAAGCATTGAGAGAATCTCAAACCCATCACTGCAGAATTTTTATACAAATTTCATGATAAAATCAACCCCAGTTGTTATTGAAAATGCAATTAGTCATTGGCCTGCAATGTCAGAAAGAAGATGGAGTGTCAATTATATCAAGAAAAAAGCTGGACATAGAACAGTACCTATCGAAATTGGGGGAAGATACACTTCTGAGGACTGGACCCAGAAATTACTTACAATAAATGAATTCATAGACCATTATATAACTGATAATAGTGATAAAGGCTACTTAGCACAACATCAGCTTTTTGACCAAATACCAGAATTAAGAAATGACATATGCATTCCAGATTATTGTTGTCTTGGTGATGAAAATAATGATGCAATGGTCAATGCTTGGTTTGGTCCTTGTGGAACTGTTTCACCCCTGCACCATGACCCGTATCAAAATCTGTTTGCACAGGTGATAGGAAAAAAGTACATCAGAATCTACGATTTGAAGTATAGTGAGAATGTGTACCCTCATGAGTCACACTTACTGGATAATACTAGTCAGGTATGACATAAACAGTTATGTCAGTTTTACTTCTGACAAATGCTTTCCCATTTGATTATATTCTGTACAGGGGTGGAAAATTACGGTAAGAAGGTTGTCCCCCAGAAGCTCTTTAAGTGGTCTCCTGCGAAAATACCTACAGGGGTGGGCTTTTCCGGTAAAACTTTGGTCACCCAGCAGTTACCCTGTGTAACAATAAGCAGTCTCCCGCAAATGAAATCCATTGGTCGAGGGAGACTGAATTGTCCACCTCTGGTATATCAAACACTGTTTGAAAGCATTATTTCAAAATTTCTTTTTGAAGTAAGCTTTTAAAATATATCCATTGCTGTTGAATTGTAAAAATTATTCAGTTATGTGACAAAAGGCTTTAATTAGAAATTCATACCCATAGAATGAAACTGTGGATTCACTTGTGAGTTTTTAATGATTTTGCTTTATTCAGGGGTTCTTTTTGAATTACTTTTCTTTTTGGTATTAAATATCAGAATATCAGCAATAATGTATAACTGCAAAACTTGATATCCTAATTTTGACCAAACTGTTTATGATGGGCATCAAAAGTGGTATAAATTTGAAAGGTCTTTATGACTTAGAACATTTATTTCGGACATTATATATTTAGGCTTAAGAAGTAGAAGAGAAAAAGCTTCACAAACAAGTGACTCTGAAAGTTTCAAAATTTTCTTTTTTAACCTTGTGCAAGGAAAATATTATTATGCATTTTGAAGTTTGAATAACAATATTTAAAGATTGAATAATATTTCAACTGTTAGAATCAAATTGAATGGTCAACTTGTAGTTACTTTATATGATTTAATTTTATTTTTGTTTCTTTTAGGTTGATGTAGAAGAGCCAGACTTAGAAAAATACCCATTGTTTTCCCATGCTCCATATATGGAATGCATTGTTAATGAGGGCGACTTGCTTTACATACCAAAGAAATTTTGGCATTTTGTACGGTCTTTGTCATTGAGTTTTTCAGTAAGTTTTTGGTGGTGATTTACTTTGAATTGCCTAAGTTTCTAATGCCTGTCTTCTGGTAGTTCATACACATACAATATATAGAAATAAAGTTATTGGGTTTTTCTCAGCCTCAGCAGCAAAAGTTCATTAGTAATTTATATATTCATACAAAACCAGTGATAATAATCAGTCAAATTTTTTTGCAGTAATTGCTGTATAAATATTTATCTCCTCTCGCTTTCAAACTAGTTGTAATTCTCTCCATAAATAATTCAATAGAAGTGCAAAAGATAAAACAAAGTTAAACACATAAAGTTTCCTATTGTTCAATATATATTAACACCCATAACTTGGAACTAATCTTTTTAGCTAAATCTACAAAAACTTCATAAGTTTCATAGGATTCCAATATTTTCAAATATAATCAGTGATATCCCAGTTTTATATTAAACATAGCTAATAACTCTAAAAATTCTCTTTCATTAAAATCATCTTTGAATAACAAAGTTAAATATTTACACATTGCTATGTATACACCCAATTTAAAAACAAACTTATAATAATAATCAGTTACTGTTATTTGATAACAAAAATATAGGAATAAATAATTTGCCACCAACATTACTTAGAACACAACTGTAACAATGTTTGAAGAATCTGCTTTTTTTAAGGAAGAGTGTGACATCATTTTCTATGTGGATTAGTTCAATAGGTTTGGTTTAATTTAGTATTTGGTTCATTTACTGTAGAAAAAAGCCTTTCTCTTAAATGAAAACCTTTAGAACTTTTATCTTGTGGAACATTAACAACTTTGATCTCAACCCAAGCAAATAAAAACTAATTCTAGGGGTATTCTTTGATACAATTTTTTTCTAAGAAATGTTTCTTTTACTCATATGTTACTTCTAAAGCTTTTTAAACATAATAAGAATATGTTGAATGATATTCAAAAAATTGAATTGTAAGGCTTTTTGAGGCTCATAGAAATTCATGTAGGAAAGGGCACTAGTATTAAGTTATTGAGGTGGTAGAAAGTATCCACTGTAACACTTGATGCCAAAACATTCTTTTCACTTAACATGATCAAGGGGAAAATCTTGATCTTTGATTGAAACCAAAAAGTGAAAAAAATGTTTTGCTATTTAAATGATATCCAGATAAGTCACTCAAATGGGCTAGAGCTTATCCTACGTCTTTGTGAAGCTGAACTGGATGAGCGGAGGGACCCTCTCATTGCTCCAGCTTGGAACCCAATAGCACTTGTCTTTTCAGTTAGATGAATTGCTTGAAGTTCATCAAGAGCTTTTGAAAATGGTGTTTCAAAACTCACAGTTCTCCTAAGATAAAATTCAATGCAAAATTATTGTCTATTATCTGGAAGGTAAAATCTAAGTGGGTAGTTTTCAAGTGGATAAGTAATACCTTGAGAAGACCTAAACTCATCTTTCCTGTTTTTACCCTGTCTTTTCTTTCAGTTTGTTTGTGTTTGGGCTTGCATTAAATCTAGTCCACACTGTCCTAAAACTGAAACCTTTGATTATAAATATGAATAACAAAAAGTTTATGAATACTGAGAAAATGAGAAAATTTTTTTCTCTTTAATAGGCATAGCACCCACACTACACTTTGGTGAAATATGCAAGCTGTTTTGGCCAGTAAAAATATATAACAATCATTATCTGTAAGTGTTAATTTCGAAAGCCCTGAAAAGCTGTTAGATTGCTACAAACCCAGCTTTGGTGTGGCTCCCTCTCTGGCTCTCGAGTTCATTTGCTGTTCCATTGCTACTGTAGGATTTTCCCAATGATTGCTTCCGGAGAGTTGTATAAGATCCAGGCCGAAATGATAATCCTATGAGACTGTCTACAAAATGAAATGATTCAAATAGCAATTTTAAGGGTAGGGTGGGAATTAGGTATTTACTTGAAGACATATATTGCTAAAAAGACATTCTTGAGGAACAACCAATACCACTTTCACTTTGTCTTCAGATGAAACTTTTTACAGAACTTTGGGGTGGGTATTTTGCCCCCCACATCATGAAAGATCCTCCTTTTTTTATTACTTGATATTCATTTTATGAGCATACAAGTCACCTTCAAAAAGCTTGGAATTTTTAAAGATGAAGTTGTACCATAGAATCTTATATTCCATCATTTTATTACAGTTGTCTACTCTCTCCCCAAATCTAGATCTTTATTTGAGAAAATTCATTTCCACACATTTTTAAACATGCTCAGATAAAATCATCTTCCTTCCATTTAATTCTTTGTTCAAATCATAAAGTGTTACTAGCTCGATTATTGGAGCCTTAGGGTACATGAAAAATTTAATGGATCCCAAATATCATTGATTTACAGTGAATAAGATCTATTAAATTATACAAATAGCATACAGCATTGTTACAATGTGAATTACACAACCAATTTATGCCACAAAGAATGTTTTTATTTTGTTGGTGTCAACCTGATTTTCTTTCACGCAAAATTTATTGTTTACAACATGTGTTTGAAAAACATTCCACAAGTTGTTTGAAACCAAAAAGGCATTGAACGCGATCCATGTCATAAGGAGAAAATCCACGCCAAAAGGAGAAAGAAAACACAGACCAATCAAAATCAAACGTGATTAATCGCAATCGGTAGAAAAAAGCAGCTTCTACCGCCTAAGCCAATCAGAAGTCTGCATTTTCCCAAAAAATCGCATGACAGTGATATTGGCGCTAATCCTGATGACAGCGCATGGACGGGTGATAATCCTGCTTGATGCCTTTGATATTCCGCCTTCGCGGCAAAACACTGCATGCAACACAAAAAGCGTTTTTGACTTTTTCTACAGGACTTCGGGCGTGCTCTCGCGACACTTTCTATGCAGAGGGGAGGAGTTTTTGGGTGGTAGTCGCCCCACTTTCATGAAAAATCGGAATGTTTCGGTGAAACAAATCCTATGTTAGTAAACGCTTTATGTTAATTCCATGAAATTATTAAAAAACTTATATTGGAAATTTCGATTATAAAACGAAATGAGGCATTACCTGGTTACTGTAAGGTTAGCAGCAATCTCAACTCCTTTCTGTCCTTTGTATGAGCTTTAGGCTTTGCACCACATTAACCAAACCGTTTTCGCGCCAAATCCCATGCACGTGTTTGCAGTCTTCCCGCGAAAATTTTCGCTATTTGGCATTGAAAATCTTGTAAAAATTATTTAACAAATAATCCGATGGTTGGTATGGTCCTTCCTGTAAGTTACTCATGTTTTCCTTGGTGTTTTGTGAGAATTAACATGATGCGAATTGCTGTTACCATCGATCGCATGGTGTAGCCTGCGACACAGACCAAATCGAATGCATTCGATTTGGTCTGTGTCGCAGGCTACACCATGCTATCGCGGCTGGCAGCATGTTGAACAATCGGCCATTGATGGCTGTTGACAGCTTAACAGCTTTGAAAAAAACGGAGACACCGTTGTGTATCCTCCGCTGGCTACGGTTGCCTTGAATCCAGGCGAGAAAAATTGCGAAGAGCCCCGTCTACGAACTAGGGTCAAAGTTAGAGTCCTGCTATAAAGGGACGTAAAAACGTAGAAGAACACTTAAAAGGACTTCAAGAAATGAAAATTTTTTTGAAAACATAGAAGAATATTAATGATCAAATATTGTATAGTTATTATTCTTGTGAACATTTATATACGGGAAAAATTGTTTTTCTAACTTTCGAAAAGATCAAAAGTGTACCCTGAGCATCTCTATAATGGGTTTTCCAAAGTAAGAACCGTTTCAATTTAGTTTTCATTATATAATTTACACTTTGAAGAAATGTTAAAGTCAAAAAAACTGTGGTCTAATTTGCTAGTCCTTTTAGTTTTACACTAACTTGTGACAATAACAAGCTCTTCCTGCAAAAGGCTATTGAATACCAAGGACAGCGGTTTATATCACAGATTGGAGGAGCTAAAGCGTTTTTTTAGGGAGGGGGGGAGGGGGCTAAAGATGCTAAAAACTAAGAGCAGATTGGGGCCAACTTTTTGTATGGTTTTAAATATAATTTGGGAATTATTGGGGGCTATTTAATTTTTTCTTAAATTAGAATGAGCATTTTCAGTTGCGTTCGCTAGTGGTAATTATCATGACATCTAGGGAAATTTTGGCATTTGTGTGCCGTATTTTTTGGAATACTTTTGTGGGTCAGGGTATGCTTTTGGCAAATTTTTATAGGACAGGGTTAGGGTGCAAAAAGGTTTCCCGCACAGCCCCCTTGTCATTTTCCTAGTCAGGTCCCCCCACCCTCTGGGAATCTATCTATGTGATATATGCTAGCCCTGCTATATCCGGGTTCATAATTTGCAGGAGCACAGAATTTTGATTTGTTTTATTAGCTTTTGGAAGAATTCTAGACTGATGACATTTCTTACTTCGGCGGGTATATCATTCACAACATCTGGATTTTGGTTACTGTTAGTGGATCCGAGTTATTTTTCAGCAGTTTTATTACTCTTTTTACAAAAACAATTATTTAAGAACACGAGCCTCAAAATTTGTCAAATGTCAAGAACAATAATGTGAAATCACCCTTAAAAAGTTTATATAAAAAACGAAGAGTTTTTTGCCATCTAGGGGTGCTTTTTGGGTGAACTTTCAAACTTGTCAGCAAATAACGCCTGTCGCACCAATTTTGTTGGCAAATGAGGCCTGAACTCCGATAATTCAAGAAATAATTTAGAACAATCCTGGAGCAAATTTTCGAAAAAATTAAAAACATCCAGGCTGAATTTCAATTTGCCGGTTCTTAAGGAAAGTTTTTTTAATTTATAGATATCTAGACCGAGATCCGATTTTACAAGGCATTGTCATATTTTAGAAACACGGCACGACTAGTGTAAAATGTGGCCAGAGAATGGCTTTTAAACATCACAAAGTCATTTTCAGATAGACTAACAAAAGTTTGGCATCTGGCAAATAATCTTCCCACTTACAATTATGGTGCAAAAAGTGTGAACGGGAGAGGGTCAGAAAATATTTTTGGGTGCTCTTCGTGGCTATGAATCCCCTTCTCGGGGTTTTCCAGTATAACTGTGTTTTCAAGGCATCGAGAAAGCTTCCTTGCAATAATGGAGTGGAAATTGCAATAGAATGACGTCATAAAAATATTTTTCTATAAATTTCGAATTCTGATCACATAACCTGAAAAAGCATCGTAAAATACCTCTAAATATGAAAAATCAGTTAAAAGTGTTACGAATTGACAGAGTTATGGTCAGATGAGCACAAGCTCTTGCCCCATCAAACCTCTTTAAGTTGGTCTCTGTTCATAAACTTTATGAACAGAGCCAAAATAACGGTGATCCGTTAGCAAATTTCAAATCTTTCATTTGCTATATCTCATTCAGTTTTTGACTCATTGGCCTGATTTTGCATATTTAGAAGTAATTGATAGAGTTCTTCTATGTTCTTTGATCAAAATTCAAAAATTATGAAAATAGTTTTCTTGTGACGTAACACTTAGAACTCAATGCCGTTAATAGTCGTGCCACAGATGTTGCGAGCGCTTGGATACGCCGACGAAAGACACTTGGATACGGTCTTGCTACGCTTTAATCAGTGGATTAGTCGTGAAGATTTAGAAAGTTTAACAGCAAAGTTAAAAACAAGTCAAGGGCTTTATCAGGGGCGGACACTTGGTGAAATATTGGGGGGGGGGCAGTGTAGTAAACCAAATATTGAGACGTAAAATGACTTCAAAATATATTTATCTTCATCATAATCGTACATACAAAAAACTGACTTACAACACGTGCTAACTGGAATAGAGGCTAGATATGATTTATGCACATATTTTAATACTATTGTCCACAGGGGATAACACTATCCCCCTCCCCATCTCTCTTCCTATGTTAGTGAATGTGAACGAGTTCTGTTTGGTAGTATGTTTGCAATGTCTACTCTGCACCAATTTCTGTTGATCATGTTGTTATTATCTTCTGGTTGTTCTCCGTGGTTCAAGTCCCCTGTATTCCCTCCTCCCCTTGCACCCTCGACGTGTACTCTATCATCAATGAGATTTGTTGTCTTGGTATTGGTTAGGTCAGCAAAAATATCACAGACTTTTTTCTTAGGTGGTTCCTTTGCAGGTAGGGGGTCAGTTGCTTTTTTGAGTAAGTGGATTGATCTTGGAGGTATATACTTCAGTTGATTGACATGAATAGTAGGACTGGCTTTGCCACTGGCGTCAACAAGCTTACAATTCAGATCTCCTATCAAGTGGGTGATTGTCCAAGGCCCCGACCACTTTGGTTGAAAACAACGTGAAATACCTCTTTTCTGAGGTGGGTTCCATAACATGACAGTATCATTGATCTTATAATGATGTTGGGTAGTTTTCTTATCGTACTGTTGTTTCATTCTTTCTCTGCTCTGGTTGAGGATACTGCGAACATTTGTAAAGGAGTTTTTAAGGCACGTACCGATGTCATTGGCAAAAGCTTGAGCCTGTTTCACATGGTGTGGAGCAGACTGTTGAATCTGTTGCTGTGGTGATTTATTAAACAGCAACGCAGTTGGTAAAGAAAGTTTAGCACCAAGAATAAGTTCAGCAGGTGTAACTTTAGTGCTATTATTAACACTTGAACGAATGGCGTAGACAGCTGATTGCAAGAACGTGTCCCAGTTACGGCCATGTTGATCAATTTGTTTCTGCACACAGGACTTAACTAGTTTTACCATTGCCTCAGAAAGGCCATCACCTTGTGGGTGGAGACGCGAAGACTTGGATTTACCTATACCCAAGATTTTGGCGACTTCCCGCATAACATTGCCATGAACATTTGAGGCACCATCACTGTGCAAACGTTGCATAATCCCATACCGA